ACAGGAGTTGCAGCGGTGGGAACGAGAGGTGGGAATAGTCCCGTATACTTTGCGGGTCTACTGAATCGATATGATAAAATTTGGTAAAGAGGCAGTTTGAGAGTTTGAGACCCAGGGAAAAACTTAGGATAGTTTTTATCCCAGTTTTTGGAAGGACTTAATAATGTCTTTCTGGGTTCCAAATATAATAACTACATTTGCGCGAAAAAATTGTAAGAAAAAAGTAGACCTGATAAGAAAACATCACCCTCCTATTAACATTCCAGTAAAAATAGCTCATAATGATCCACTTACGACGAATGTAACTACCGGTATCCAATTTTCAGCGCACGCGCACGTGAATTGTCGCTAAGTGGCGTCTACAATTACTATTGTACACAACACCGAGTTGACAATTTGACATGATCTATGTCGCTTGTGAAGTAGGCTCTAATAATGTCAATGATTTGTGAGAAATAACTACTCGTATTGTGATAAATGCGTGTAAAGTACGGCCAACTAGCAGCGATACAAAAGGTCGATACGACTATCGAGTTAACAATATGTTCTGTCTCTTCCCATCTTGTGTATTTGTCGTAATGTCTCGTTCTCCCGCCAAAATATGTCAAAGTCAGACGGGTTCACCCATGACATTTGGTTTGTTTACATTTGGTATCGCTTCTCGTTGGCCGTAGTTTAGACAGGTCTTGGTAGGGCATAGCAACCGTCATGGACGTACGCAGTTGAGGAAATCGCTTTGAAGGAGCTTATGCCTGTTTTCACCATCAATCCCTAATTTTTAAGTGACCTCTATGGTAACACATAACAGGAATTTTGTTTTCAAAGGGGTCACTTAATTAGGGATTGATGGTGGAAACGGGCATAAGTCAAAGTGACCTAAATATCCCTAGGCGAAAAGCTGGGTTTGACTTGCCCGCCCTAGGGCAGGAAGCTGGAAACATAGGCGTTACTGCAACAGCGAGCAGTTTTGGATGGGCATAAGTCAAACTGACCTAAAAAAGCTCCAGAAGCTTGGTATGACTTGCCCCTCCTAGGGCAGGAAGCTGTCAACATGGGCGTTCCTGCAACCGCGTACAGTTTTGTATCTGCTATCGGACGCGTGGTGACGCTGCTCGGGTGGTGGATAGGGGAACGCCCCCCAGTCATGGCAGTAGGTACCGTATATTGTTCTAAACTTTCATGGTCACTAACAATACTGACGGTTATTATTATGGGAGAATACCGGTTTACCGGCGCAGACTTTTGTTGTTGACGTTTGCTGACAATAGTGACTGAGTTTCTGCTGACAATAGTGACTGAGTTTCTTGCGCTGCTTCTTCTCAGCACTGGCCCATTTATTGTCCCGAAGCAGTGGTAGGGTTAATATTGGGACGTGTAAAAGTGCTTTTTAAAAGCCTATTTGCAAAAATTAATGAGTTTTAAGTTTTATGAGGTTTTTTATGAGTTTTAGACAGAAACCTAAACGCAGCAGGTCAACGGAGTTTTAGACAGAAACCTAAACGTCAACTCGGCGGGCTTGAGCAACCCGTACGTAACCCACAATTGAGTGGACTGGAGACCGTAAAGGCATATTTGCCCTGGCCACAATCACACACCTGGCCCTGGCAAAACTGTTTGGGGACTGGCGGGGCGTTTACCGGGGCCCATTCTTTATAGGGCTGCTCTTGGTACTCCTCTGATCAGTAGAGCTAACTGAGCAGCACCATAGAGCAGACCGTAACCCACTAACTACCGCTATGGAGGGGCGGGGGTACTGTAAAGGCCTCTATGATCTAGTGGTAAGACCACCTGCTTCAGACGCAAAGGTCCCGGGTTCGATTCCCAGTGGGGGCAGATTTTTCTGTTCGGTTTGGTTGGTGGCAGGGCTTGTAAGTTCTAAGTCCGCCTGGCTAGCTACCACCATCTTACCTAAGTCTGTCGCCATAACAACAATGTTAACAGCATTGTTGTGTTCCGGCAGTTAGAGGTAAGATAGCCAGTTCCTCCGTGGTTGAGGATTCCGGGTGAAGCTCGCTTCCACCTTCGGCCTGATCGTCACTTAGCATCAGGTGAGATACAGGCCAAGAGCTTCCTCGTTGGATAAAAAAAAAAGGTCATAGCAGACTTATCAACTCGGAAAGGGATCAACACAGTATCGCCTTCGCAAACTGTCTTCGCCTTTCGCGTGGAGGCGATGCGTTTACGTTACGGTGTGGTTAAGTGTATGTTGGAGTATGGAGTTACATACAAAGAATACAGACCGTTTCGTGTAGATACAGTCACGATTTACCAGGTTGATATGTGTGTTATGTCCTTTGTACATAAATATTTGAAAACAACAACTCCATTTGCAGTTGTCTTACTACTGATCAATTTCAGGGCCCCGATTACGCTAAAAATTTTCATCTTCAACGTGCCCGGACGTCAGCTGTTTTGACAAATCCGTATCGCAGAATCGAAGAAATCGAAGAAGCGCGTCTGTATTGGAGACGTTAAAAATTAGCGTAATCGGGGCACAGGACAGCCTAATAATTTAAAAACAATCCTCTTTCCTGCACTTAACTTGTTTACAGTCAGTCAGTCACCTGATATGTACACAAACAATGCTTGATTAAGCAAAGCAGCAAATCGAACACACAGTGTTGAATAGAGCTCTGATTGGTTCGTGTGTGACCCTGTGCGTCCACGCACACTGTGAGACCTCATAGTGTTTGTGAATACGGGCGAGTGACATCAGCTTATCTAATCACACCATAAAGCGAAGTGTGACCGATTTATTGTAGGAGGAAAAACTTACGAAGAATCTTGTTTGCAATGAGATCTCCGTGTCAAGGCAAATATTTAAAGACGTCTATCCATCACTGATAAGTTGTACTGTGGTCATTGTTAATATGGATGGGTTTTAGTAGTGTTTTTTTCATAAAGGAAAAAGGAGACTAAAGGAGATCCATTGCTGGACAAAGGAGACCCCTATGGATTTCCATGAATATTCCTGCCATTAATCTTTTAGTTGAAACAATGGGCATTCAAATGCAAAGGAATACAGATTTAACCCTTCATTTGGCAGTGATGCTTTTAAGCAACAACCACTTTGAATATTTCTACAGCACCAAATAATAAGTTTTGTGCAAATCATTCGATTTTGTTACAAAGCTTAGTTCAGCAAAACACTAGTAAATCGGTCGTCGACTGAGTTTTGAGTGATTTCATATCCATATTTCTGTCAGACGCCAAGATGACGCGCAATGAGAATAACAAAGACGGAAGTTTTATGATTTTGTACTATTTTATCATCTCTAATTATTTTTGTTTTGTCTAAATTTAATTCATAATAAATCAAACTAATCATATAAAGCAATATTTGGCGTAGAAATTGTGTTTTCTAATACATGACATGCTTCCGAACCTCGATGTTGCCTAGAAGCAACAGTGCCAAACATCTAACAAAATAGGTTTAGCTTTTTGTTAATACAAAAGAGTGTCAATACACAATAAATCAATCATGTATTACATGAATAATGTTATAGAGATGGTATAGTAATTACTTTTGATGCAATTACGGACCCTGTCGGGCACAGCATTTTAGGAGAGAGGAAGAATTTGCTGTCTGTCTCTGTGTTGTTTGTCTTCACACTTATACCGCTGAACTAATTTAAATGATAAACACATTTTTCTTGCGTTGAAGTCAACAACTATAGCAAATAACGGTTACATACCAGTTTCAGAAGCTAAAGAGAAAATAAAAAGCCAACCTTGGCTCGGCATATTGATCGTGAAGTATGATGACATACGTCATCTATCAAATGTTGGAGAAAAAGGTCATTAATCGACTTTGCGAAAATGGCCAAAAAAAAGTTTAATGCATAAAATGTGAAATACGATTGATTTTTTTAAGATTTTCATATAAAAAAATTAATTCTATAATATATCTCAATGTTTTATTTAAGTACCCCTATTTGGCAATGTGGTAAATAAGCAACAATCGTTTTTCGCGAAAATACCAACCAAATATTTTTTTTACTATTTTTCTTAACTTAATTTGATAGTAACAATTAGGTCTAAATAGATTTTATTGAAAAAATCAAACAATTTGTGTCTTGCCAAATGAAGGGTTAAAAAACATTAAATTGCATTTTATTTTGTAACATTTAAAATAGATGTAATTTAATTTTATTTAAGTGGTAAAGAGAATTGCTTTCAATTTGAAGCCTACACAGTTATTTTGATTGTCATCATGTTATTAATTAACATAGTAGTTAATTTAACGTTTATTAGATAAGAATATACCGTAATAAACTAAAATACATTATTTATTTAATTAAAAATCTTAATTAAAAGATTCAAATACTTGAAATTCATGAAACCAGCAAGCTTGAAATGAACATAGCTGTTAAAATTTATTATAGATAAGTAAAAAGTATTTACGAAACTTTGTACCAAGCCAACTTTACCTACCGAGATAAAAACTATGTTTGTGTGAATGAACTGAGAAACACAGATTAAAATATGTCATGACTCATTCTTTATACCATATGGTTTTCAAATTCTTTGAAATATTTGCTTGTAATAATGTTGTATATTTTTGTCTTTTTCAAGGTAATGCCATCAATTTGGAGCTACTTTAAAGAGCTATAAAATATGTTATGTTATTTATACAGTACTTGCTGCTTAGGTCATAGAATTCTAATAGATTATGCATATGACTGCAAAGTTTTTGATTGATTTGTACTTTTTAAAAGTATGTACCTATTTGATAGAAAATTGAAGTGTTTGCCGTATTTATTCTTTGCCTTCTAGTTTTAATAGCTGGTGGCTTGAATATCACGAGTTTAGACCAAGTTTTAACATCAGTTTGATTAAATACAAAGACCATTTCTTTATCGTCAAACAAAGCAATCCTATACATCGCATAGGACTTCCTTAGCACTACACAAGCACGGGACAAAGTCCTTGTCCAACGTACGTACGAATAATCGCAGCGAAAGCCAGTAGAAAGTATTAAATATAAAAATAATACTCACCAGAGGTATGTCAGTCCGTGTTGTATACCAAAAAAACAATCAGAATCACAATAAAAACTTTATCACTAAGATACACTCGCGAACCGGAAGGCTCTTGTCACATAATTGTTTTTTTAATTAATTAAACTAACATTAATTGACATCAATGTGTGCAAAATGGGAAACAAAAACATCCATCAGCCTCCATAACTGTTGAATGAATGAAAAATCAAAATGAATGAATTGGTTTCTGTCAGGGCTGTCAATCACGTAAGCCCAGTGGTCCAGTGACTCATGTTTAGATGTAACGGTAACGTTATTAATAACGCTTGATCAATTTGTTAGAGCGATTCGAGTCAGATCGATTCTGAGTACTTAGTTGGTTACGTTGCGACTTGCGAGCCGAGTATTTCAAAATGTTTATAAACAATCTTCTATTTCGCGATTGGAACTTGAGTTCAACATGATGTCGTCAGTTGTGTTGTGCATTGCAACAGTAATTTATATCTGTTCTACTGCGCGATTTGCCAGTACAAAACGTTTTGATTCATATAATGAAGATGACTTATTGAAAAGTAACTTACGACAAAAAAAATATACAAGAAATACTAAAAATGGAAAAACTAAGATGCAGAAACCAGATAACTCTTCAATTAACAGTTTTAATGTCGATGGAATAACACACTTTGAAGTTATAAAGAGTAATAAAAGTTGGAAGAAGATAAATAAAATCGAAAAGAATTTCAAAAACTTAATAGCGATGAGAGGAGTGACTTTTGTTTACAAAAGGGATACGTTTTGGAGAACATGGCGAGATGTGGACTACAAAATGTCTCACAAAACTATTTTCTATAAATGTTCCAACATTATAAATACTTCGTGCACCGGTTGTTATGGCGGTGGATTTTGGGTAAGTTAGTTTTTTAAGTAACACAACATTTTACCTCGAAAACTTGAACTTAGAAAATGTGGAGAAGTTTATTATAGGACAGACAAATTACTTTAGTTGAATATTTGATTGATTTATATTTTGCACTTTACTTATATTTTAGGTTATTGAAGAAGATCAAATCCCATGTCCGTATGAGATATTTTCTATGATAAATAAAAATAAAGTATGTGCCGTTAACTACACACATTTGGAAAAAATCGATGAATTATGTCCTTCTGAGTTGAGTCTATTCGATCTTACGATTTCCTGTAACAATCCGATTGTTACGCTGTATCGAATCACAAAATCGTACAGTAATTCGACTTCCGAACGCAACCACAGTGACATTTGTGGAGGGCGGGAATTTTGTGAGATTTCAACCATTTACAGGGTAAGTTACATAACTTATTTAAAACTTTTGTCGCGTAATCTATACATAGTAATTAATTTACACCAAATTCTGTATAATATTAAACTCGTGCACCCGTTCGTTTTATTTCAGATTTATCAAGATTACATAACATTTCAAATTATTAACTTAAACAAAGACGTAATTTACTCCAAAGTAATGATGAATAATAACAAAACTTTTGCTTATTTAAATACTACACGTTTTCTCTTGGATCCAGTTACACCAAAAAATATGAAATCAAACAAAGTTCAAACTTTTAACGTTAATAGAAGTAAAATACATTTTGCAAGAAGGCAAAATGAAAGAGGCAAAATTTCTAAACCTCGAGTTAGCGATAATAATACCTCCACAACGTTATCTCCATGTAAAAAATTACAAACTTCTACAGCGGATTATTATGACGAAGAAGACTATGATTATGAAGTTTAAAAAATCTAATATTATTGTATTTTGTTTTATGTATAGGTTGGGAAATTTTTATGGTCAAATTAAAAAACGAGCATGTTGATTCACAAATTTTATTTTTCTCTTAACTTAAAAGTTAAATAAAGCAAAGAATTAACCTACCAACTTAACAATAAAGATAAAAAAAAAAATGAAGTAAACATAGGAAGCTATTTTGTGCTAGAATGTAAACATAACCATGCATTTAAACTTAAACAATACTTTTACCTCAAATACATAACAAGCGAAGCCGCCAATTTAACAAGGATATTCTATTCCTTGTAAATAAAAATATTTTTACTTGACCAAGAATCCTTACAAAACGAAGGTTAGGTACAATAAGGCACTATTTAAAAACCTCTCATATTCATAAAAAAAATACAAGTTTTTTTTGTACAATTAAGGAATATACTTAGATTAATTAATCTAAGGGAATAGGTAAAAACTTTTTTTTAATATAGGTCATGGTTTCACAAAATTGTATGAAAATAGTTTTTTATGATAGATTCTCTCTCAATACACAGGAGTATCATTTAAGGCACATGCGATATCAGTCTTACATATAGAATAACATTGTATGTTTATTAATTAATACTACACAAGAAATTTTAAAAATTAATCTAAGGCAAGTTTAGTATAAAAACTTAATTGACAGCTAAAATGCTTGTCAGACAGATCATGCAAAATATACCTATGTTGGCTATCAAGCCTAGTTACAGACCACCGTATTTTAGTTGGCCAATAGTTGGGCCCGATTCTAATTTGTATGAATCGGCCGATACCAAATCGGACTGGACTAATAGACGCGATCGACCGGTTGGCCACCCCTGCTATAAAGGATATAAGCTAATAATTCTAATTCAGTTTGTATAAAATTTATCTAATACACTTTTGGAAGACTTAAGTAATTTGTGCACTTTTAAATTGCAGTCAACATTTAATAGACACTCTTTTGTCACATGCATTACATATTTTTTAAAATATAACAATAACATTATACATAGGTTGCTTTGTTATTGTTATACTTAAATAACATCTTAAATTAGTGATGTCTACTAATAACAATGATGTAAAAGCATGCACCAATTTTTAAAAGAGATTAGACCTGAAAGAAATCCTAATATTCAAAAAAGTAAAAAGTACCTATTTATTTTTAAAATATAACACATTGTTACAGATATATTAAAACAATGTGCATTTTAAGTCTACAAAATATCAGCTAAATAAAGTTTGTTTTCATTCTAATTGCATTATTTTAACTAAATCACTAAGAAATACTTATTACCAAAATGAGAGATATTTTGAAGTGTGGAAATCCAGATTCATGAAAAGTAATGTGAATTAGAATTCAACACTTCAAAAATATATCCAGAATATCTGTTTTTAGCACCACAGTGTAAAAATAATACTTTTTTCGTACTACTGACAGGGTTCCAGTGTAAATGGATTTACAGGTCACTTAACTCAGTCAGGGTGAGGGTATTTCTCTATCGTCACACATTAGCGAGAATTTCGATTTTCTTCAGATTTTTACATATAGACTGTTACTACACTAGGATGTTCAGCAGTGGACATCCTATGGCTGAGATGATGATGACACCAGGATATCTCAGGCGCTGACTGAGTTAAACGCTAAACATAGGTCCCTGTCAATAGACAAAATGGCAGGTTTTTAATGGCATAAACTGTTACAACGGTATGGCCCAGAACAGACAGTGAAACTTTCTAACGCGTCATGTGTGGTCTCTCAACGGGCGCTATGGCAGAAACTTAGATGCAACTCAAAAGTAACTAGCAGTTGCAGTTTCGTTGCAGTTGCGTTTCACCGTCTGTTCTGGGCCTTAAGGGGACGTCAATGGTTTATCTTTTCCCGCTGATTCCTAAATTTACCACAAACATGGTTAACCAGTTGATAATGACGATTATAAGTGCGCAAGCAAGTTTCACACTTAAATCTACGTAGTTTAAGGTGTCTTTCCCTTATGTGTGACTGTAGACTCTTCTTCAGCATTTCTTTGTTGCAGTAATCGCAGACGGCTTTAGAATACTGAGACTTGTCTTTACTCGCAAAAATCGAGCGCATGTACTGCTGAAAGGGATTGTTAACATTCTTACCGTCTTCCTGACTTTCAGATTTAACTGATCCAACCTTTCTTATAGCTATGACGTTGTTGTTAACCTTAGTCATCTCCACACATACTTCTGTCTCCAAAACTCGCTCAACCCAGGTCTCGTTCAGAGATTTCTTATCGATATCTAAGTTTTTTTGCTGTAGATTGAAGTGTTCCTTTCTGATATGGTATTTGAGCAGTCTCTCTTCGCAGTAGGAGGCGTCACACGCTTGGCAAGTGTAATTTTTATCGTTATCCATACAGACATCGTGTATACGGAAATGCTTCACTAAATTTCGTTTGTCAACAAAATCACGGCCACAGTAGTCGCAAATGTGAGTCTTCTGGTCGCCCCTGTGCACACTTAAGTGCCTTTTATACACGTCTTTCCTATAAAACTCTTTCAAACACACACCACACTGAAAACGAGGTGCAACCACTTTGTGAAGGTAAAGGTGAGATTTCATGTTGTATGATCCACCGAGAACCATTTTGTGACAAACGGGACATGGGCTTTTAGTTTTTGTAGATTTAGACGGCTTTTCTTTCATTTTGAGGGTTAATTTTGTAACAAAAACAAGCAAACAGAAATTAAAGTGCACAAAAAAAACAAATTGGTATTTTTTTGACAGCTGACTGACAGTTGACATTTCTCTTTTTTTTTTATCTTTTTATTAGCTTCCGTGGCTTTGGGCCTTGTACAACGGCCGCATCGGAAAATTTTCCAAAGAGGTTATCAACAAATTACCAGAATTAATTTAGTGAAGGAATACCTAGCATAAATCAGAACTTTTTTACCCATTTATGGTAAAATTCCTTGTTTTAGAGATGTTTTATGTTATTTAATTTATCCAACCAGACATTAAGCCTCCCCAACCCGTCTGGCCAGTGGGGAGTGTAGGCCAAATCCTTAGATTTGCTTAATGGACACAGAACAGTAGAAATTCCTCTCATGGAGACTTAATTTTATCGATGATGACTATAAAAGTAATTAAAATAAAACAAAACAATGCTGTAAACTCTTTTATTTCTCATAATTTTGATTCTAGCGCACAATCGCTTCTTTTCTAATCTAAGATTGTTGCAGTTCAGTCTGTTGTGATTCGGACTCTTCGATGTAGGTGGTCTGGGTGACGTTCACGGTGACTACTTGAGTGGTGGTCATGATGACCTTGAAGGTACGGTCTGATTTGGCAGTCTGGATGGTTGACTTGACGTCTTCCGAGTTGGTGCTGATATCTGGGAAGAGAAATTGAATATTATTAAATTCAGACTCATGAATGGTGGCACTGGAAAAGAGCAGCGATTAGATTACTTAAAGTCAAACGATCTGAAACGACAAGTGGCAAAAATCTAAACTAATAAACCAATATTGATAGTAGCGCCCTCCTATCAATATCAATGGCGCTGGGACAGTTCAGTGTGGGACAAATCTTTTACTGAAGATAATGCACATAGTTGGTAAAAAAAATGCGGTCACGATCACGAATTTTAATTCCTCTAGGTAAAATCAAATTTAATTTAGTTAGAATTTGAACTTGTTTTATTTGTGCCTAAATATGACTGTGACTTGTTTTGTGAGCCATAAATAAATAAACTTCTATTACCTTGGTATCCTTTCTGGGAGACGTATTGGTCGCATGATGAAGACAGGCTCTTTGTGATCTTGTCTCCGACTGGAAGGAAAAGAAAAACATTGTTTATTTGTCCTTTAGTAATAATCATGATATTATTAATAATAAAACAATAAAATTAAACAGTAGAAACTTACGGTCAGTTTGGTAACTGTTTCCGATGATTCCAAGGATCTTGGTAACTGTAAAAAACAATGCGAAGTTAGTTTTTTTCATCTATCTTCATTTTGAAGAAGCTTTCCTGAAGTTTTATGAAGTCTAAGAAAACTTACTCTCAAGGTACAGTTTGCTGAAAGCGTCATTGGCGGAGTAATCTGAAATAAAAAAATACGTAAGTAAATTAAATAGATTTTTAAAGATCAACCACCACAACAACAGTAAAATTTAATTTTGTAAAATTTAGCATTCATTTTAAACGCCATCTAGCGTTGAGTAGCAGTATTAGTACCTATTTTTAACCATGCTTTTTAATAGCTACTTATGTCATAACGCCATCTAGCGTTGAGTAGCAATACTTGTAGGTACTCAATTTTTGTCACAGAGGGCGTTGTTCGTGCTTCTGTAGTGGAGACTAAAATAAATGATGATGTTAATGACAATAAGACAATAACTATTTACTTACTGTCAACGTAAGTAGCTAGGTTGAGGCAAGATTGCAGGAGTGCTCTTTGACCACCCTTGATGACGTCCTTGACTCCTGGAAAGGTAATGAGAAAATCAGGAAATGTTCAAGAAAATTATTAAATGATCACGAAAATTAACCTCGTTTTTGTAGCTATCTAAGTTAATTCGGAAAGGAAAAGTTGTAATATCTTAACAAAAATACAGTGAATCTGCCATCAATTAAATCATTAGGGAAATTTTATAACGGGACTATTCCCTCATCGCAACTCCTGTGTAGCCAGGATCTACAGCTTGACCGCCAATAAAAACCCAACCAGTGAAGGAAGTGTCCCGGGGGAAAGTTAAACTGTCATCGGACCCGCAACGAAATTCATTAGAAGAAAATTAAATAGGAGGAGTTCGAAGTTAAGGTTCGATAGTATATTTTTATAGTAAAATTAACTTGTAGTCTTCTATGAACCTACCCTTGCCCCTAGTCTTCTTCTTGATAATCTTAAGCATTTGCTTTTTGGCTTCCTTGATCTTATACAGGGTGATGTATCCGCCGATGTCTGTGGCAGTGCCCTTGATGCCGAAGGCATCGCCGTATTTATTGTTGCAGAAGCCTGTGAGGCTCTTTCCTGAAAAATAAGGTAAGGTTAGCGTACTATGCCTGCGATGTTGTTTCACCAGCATCCTTAGACAAGTTGCACTTTTTGATCGAATCGAAATCGAATCCGTCAAAACTCCATTAAAAAAGGCCTTTCGACCACTTTTCGACTAGTTTGCGATTGTATTGTCCAGTGTTTTTCAACCTTTTTCATGACACTGCCCCCCTAGTATGAAAAAATATTTTGTGACCTCCCGACCGTTCGCTTTTAAAAAAGCGAACGAAGCTCTTTCCCGAACATTATAATCCGGGCCTCTTCAAGGCGAGATTGATACTTAAGCAAATACAGAGTAGGTGTTAAGAAGAAGAATCTTACCTGAGCAGCAGAGGGATCCTTGTGCCAGTACCAAAGAAACTGCAAAGAAAAAATGAATCAATAAAATATTCAAAAAAATTAATTTAATAAAATGTTTCAAAGAAAAAAATATAATTACCTCGTCCAACCAAGCTGCCCACTGTAACATACAAACAAAATGTTAGATATTTTATTGTAAAATAATGTGAATAGTATTTTTTATTTTTTTAAGCTTTTTACAGTTAACTGTGTGTGTGTATTTTTTATGAACAAAATAAATTAACCACGTGTGCCAAGTTAGAAACTGCACGCTGCGGATAGAAATAATTAAATATGAAAAAAAAATTCTTTACGCAAATAAATTACAAAGTCACCTTGTATAAAAACTCACATCCTTTAATCAGGCTGTCGATCAGGCGGGATACGACGATGCTCACTGGAATAATAATACAAATATTGAATTTAGGTAATTTAAAATTTACAGAAATAAAGCGAGATTTCAACGGTGATAGAATTTTTCAATTCGGTCCAGTAGTTTCGTTCGTAGCTGAATACAAACGGAGTTTTGGGCTGACACTGTGTAGGTTTGTTGTCGACACGAAAAAAAGAAGAAGAATACAAACAAACAATAAAATCTTTCCTCTGTTATTATTAGTTTAGAAAAGAGACTCACAGTTGCCGATGATGTTGGCTACATCCACGAAGGACTTTGGTGCACCTGAAAAAGGAAAAATAATTGAAAAATTATCACAGGGTCGTTTAATGTAGAAAACGGGTTTAAACAAACATACTTAGGTAATTAATTACTTTGTTGTTATTGTTATTAGACATCTACTAACAATATATCCTGTATAGGTACTAAAGTTTGGCACGCTCTTTTTGGGACACTCTGTATATCAATAAAAACAGAAATGAAAACTAAATTGTATGTAGGTAGTGCGGAGATCAAAAACCCACGAAAGGACATCATCCACGTTTCATATATTTTTGGTACAAAATCAAAAGTGCCGGCCATCAAAAAAAAAACATGTTGTTTTCTTAGGGTAACGGGACCATTCTCACCTCTCGTTCCCACCGCTGCAACTCCTGTGTAGCCAGGATCTACAGCTTAACCGCCAATAAAAACCCAACCAGTGAAGGTCAAATATGTCCCGGGGGAAAGTCAAACACAGGTTAAACTAGTGTCATTAGACCCGCAACGAAATTAATCAGAAGAACATAGAAGTTCGAAGTTTTCTAAAATAGAGTGGTTAAATCGACGTGTTAAAAATGAACTAAAAAACTTACCGAGGTTTACCAAGTTTATGAGATAAGTGTCAGAAACACGGCAACTGCCCTTTCCCTCTGAAAATAAGAAAACCTTATTATTATTGCTCTTATTGGCAATAGAAAAAAAACACTTTTTTTTTCTAAAAAAAAACATGTTATGAAAAGATAAGTTATTGTGATTTTCTTTTCATAAAGAAAATAATTTAAAGTTACTTAATTATTTGGCATTAATTATTGGATTTTTTTATGTTTACTGCCTTGCCCTGCATAAAAAAGCCAATTTATTCATCATCATTTCAGCCACAGGACGTCCAACTAAGGCCTCCCCCAATGATTTCCACATCGCTCGATTAGTAGCGGCCTGAATCCAGCGCTTTCCTGCTACCTGTAAGAGGTCATCCATCGGTCCACCTTATGGGTAGACGTCTCAAGCTGAATTTTCCGGTACGTGCCTAATTAATTTGCATTAATTAATAAACTCATTTAGCTGAAACGAATAAACTTACTTCGGATTGGCTTGAACAAGATGTCGAAGTAACCACCAAGCGGCGAAGAGACTGAAGTCTGTAAGAGACATTAAAAAATGATTTTATTTTGCTTTTTTGTTTTGTTAACTTATTTTTTTAAATACGTTTTTTTTTAAATAAAATATCCTTGGACATTTTTACACTGCGTCATCTAGTCCCAAACTAAGCAAAGCTTGTACTATGGGTACAGTGTCAAATAGTTCGTGTCACCCAAAGTAGCCAAAAAGTTCACAATACAACTTGTGCTGTCAACTTTTTGGCTACTTCTTGTTTGGTTTATGGCGAAGAACTTGCGTTTTTTCGCCACTGAGGGCACACTGTTCCACCAATGTCACGTGCAAAACTTTTTGGCTAAATTTTTTAATAAATAAAATAAATAAATATCCTTGGACATTTTACACTTTGTCACGAACTATTTGACACTGGACGGTACATTCAAGACAATTGATATCAAACCAAGCGATGAAGATTTTCTGAAGAACATCAAAGATACTTACATTGTTATCATTGGCATCATCATCATCATCATTATTGTTATTGTTGTTGTTGTCATTTCCTTGGTTGTTGTTGTCATTGTCATTCCCTTTGTTGTTATCATTGTCATTCCCCTTGTTGTTATCATTATCATTCCCTTGGTTGTTGTTGTTGTTACTTCCCTTGTTATCATCGTCATTATCATTATCATCATCATCATCATCACTGTCATTGTCATTGCCGCTGTCTGGCAGTGTAGCCCATGGGGCGTCGTCGTCATCATCAGCATCCTTGATCACCACTCCAATTTTTGGTTTGGAACTTTCCAATGCTAGAAAAAAATAAGTTTTTACTTGAACCTGGAGTTTCCATTAATGGTTAATATTCATTTCATTACATTTTTATAATAGACACTGAAGTAAAATTACTGCTCAATAAATTACAACCTGTATACTAGCTTGTGCTCACGTTCCAATTAAACAATTTATAAAAAATATTAAAAGTGTACCTAATTAGATGAAAAATTATACAGGGTGGAATTGACGTCGTACGCTGCACATAGCGTAGCTTGTGGTGTAGCAGACTTATCAACTCGGAAAGGGATCAACACTGTACTATCGCCTTTCGCGAGCTGTCATCGTCTTTCGCGCGCTGTCAACCGCGAGGCGAGGCGTTTACGTTACGGTGCGGATAGTGTGCGTTGCAGTATGGAGTTTCATACAAAGAATACTGATCACCTCGAGTTAATACGGTTACGATTTCTTTCCGCGTTGATAAGTGTGCTACGTTCTTCTTAATAGGAGACTATAGCTTTAATAAAAATAAACTCAAAATGTATTTCACTGACCTGGGCAACCGGCGTCCACCAGGAACTTTCCACATAGCCCGATAGCGTTATCGGTGACGGATTGACCAACTGCAAAAAAGACATTGGTTTTATTTTCTGACCAGTTGACGCGGCGAACATTGTACCGCCAATAAAAATTAATAGCCTATGTTCATCAGGGATAATGTATGATTCTAATGGTGAAAGAATTTTCCAAATCGGTCCAGTAGTTTCGGAGCCTATTCAATACAAACATACAAAATTACAAATCTTTCCTCTTTAAAATATCAGTAGGTATAGAATTGGCACTTAAAAATTTACAGGAGAAGTGCACAATAAAAGAAAGAAAAAACGTCGAAACAAACTTGGTCTCCACTGATTAGGTTTTTATTGGCGGTCAAACTATACATCCTGGTTATGGGTAGGGTACTCATGTGTATCTATCGTCTTGGAGATGAGACTGGGAATATATGAAACTCTTTTAACCCCATGGGGTTCATTATCCCAATATCTCCATACTGGGATTAAGTTCATGCAGTATCATCAGTCCAGAATAGGAGGTAAATGGAGAAATTCACAGGAAGAATGGTTGTGCTATTCTTCGTGTGGATTTCTCCATTTGCTTTTGGTAAATTATAGGGGGTCGTGCTCCTGCAATGGAGACCAAGTGACCAAAGCGTGAGAAGTGTATTAATGCGTGAGCCAAATCCTCCTTGCCTCTGGTAAATTAGAGAGGGTCATACATGCAGTGGAGACCAAATCATATATAGGCCAAATCCTTCATTTGCCTCTGGTAAATTAGAGGGTCGTGCTCTGCAATGGAGACCAAATGACCTGATGATGATGATGAAGTAAAAAGTCTACTTACGGCCTGCTGAGTAGCTGTTTCCGATCAATCCGCTGAGAGTAAGGATCTTCTCGAACAGACGAGTGGCGTCAGCCTTGACCAGTTTCTTTGGACCTGAAAATAAACGAATCATCAGCTTCTTTATCACCAAGATTAGCTGTGCCTGCGACTTCGTACGCGTGAAAATAGTTTGAATAATATTTCCCGTTTTTGCAGCATTTTTTTTTACTGCTCCGACCCTATTGACTGTAGGGTGTCGGCTGAACCATTTAAGAACCTAGTAGAGTCATTCGGGGTAACAGCACGCGGTGGGTAAAAGTACGCGGTGGTCCGATCTCCGACAGGGGTGGGGGTGCCGAGGTCTGTGTTTGTAAAATAGAGTGGCGCTACTGTCGCCGTTTAGGAGCCACGCGCCGCGCCGACGCAATCTAAGTACTGGTCGCGACACGTCGCCGAATACTTGTAGCACGCTTAATTCGTTTAATTTTTATGCCACGGAAAAGTGTGCTGTAGTTAAATGGATAGCTCTGTGCCAGTAAGTATACTATATTTCTATTGTTCATTTAATGTAGTTTTGATCTAAGTTTATCATATTCGTAAAAAGTATTTAACGTGTGTGTTGTGAATGATTATTTGGTATATTTGCCGATTGGGGTAAGAGTACGAGATTAATAGTACGCACCCGTACGTTTACCCCCGTTGCGCACTTATACCCCAAATGAAATAAAAAATCAAAAATTGTTCAATCTTTCAGAATACTTACACCAAAATGCCGAGAAATTACATAAGGAATGCAGCGAACCCTCATCTCATCTCAGATGACCAAATAATGAAGGCCAATTATTTTGATCTTAAAGTGTGACTATTGCCAATATAAATAATATAATTTAAGACAAGATTTACATTTATAATAGATACAGGGTGGAATTTTGTAATGCCACCTGGAGGGAAAGTACTCTTAGTAATGTAGAGGAATCGAACCAACTAAAATTTGTTAAAAATTACACCCTGTATTTTTATTGCATCGATCGTTAGGGTTAAATTTATGGATGAAATCTCTCTAACAAACTTGCTTAAATTAAATGAAAGGAAAACCATGAAATCTTAAATTATTTGAATTACCTATTTACAAAAAATTGTATGGTATGATATTTTCGTAAAATTTTCAAAAATCTTTGAATGAAGTTCTCTTTGTTTTCAAAAATTAAGGAATGTTTTATTTGAGTAAAATTTTCTATCTAAAATATTAAGAGTACTTTCCCTCCAGGTGGCATTACAAAATTCCACCCTGTATAATACAAAGAGTTCTTATTTTTTTTTAATGTTATAGTTCTTAAAATGGTATTTACAAGATTAAATAAATATTGATTATTGCCAATCTTAATTGTATTCTCTAAGAAATCTGAATGCGTACATTTACCCCGCGTGCGTAACTTTACCCTAAGACTTGCGTAATTTTACCCACACATCGGGTCAAGAGTACGCATTGGAAAAGTTTTCAGTTAAGCCTAGGTAGGGCTAAAACTAATTAATCTTGATGGAATTTTTTCTTAAATAGTGAAAATTTATTAAATATTCTACAGATTTAATATCATAACATGCCAATTATATAATTCGGCTGAACCATTTAAGAACCTAGTAAGTGCAGCGGAGCAAATTTTACAGGAGAGCGAAAAAACGCATTTTCATTTGCCCTGCTAAGATGCTTAAAGATTTGGATAACTTCTGATGTTTATATTAAAGATTAGTTACTAAAGTATACTTTATGGAATAAAAGAATATATTTAGTTAAAAATTGCAAGTTTTATGCTCTTTACTAACACTAAAAATTATTTTTTTGACAAAAGTGCCTCGTAAAAATCAAAATCAAAATCGAATATGAATCAGTACTCATGTAGTCCCCAGATTTTGATATGGTTATCGAGTGTCAGCCAACAGAACTCGAAATAATATTTAAATTACAGTAGCATTTTACCTCTAGTAAGTCACATTGACCATTTTGAAACCTAGTAAGTCCATGCACTTACTAGGTTTTAAATGGTCATTGTAACTTGCTAGGTTTTGATAATGGTTTTTGCAGATTTGAATTGGACTTACTAGGTTTTTAGCAACGCGTTTCTCCGGTGTTAAGTGTAATAGAGCGATTTCTGTCTTCACATCCTGTGGAGACCTTAATTCTAAGGTGATTTATGACAAAAAACGAAAATCTGAAAAAGTGTTCCTTACTAGGTTCTTAAATGGTTCAGCCGTGATGTTTTAAGCCTTCCTCGATGAATGGGCTATCCAACACAAAAAGAACCAGCCCCCCCTAGACAAGTTGCACTTTTTGATCGAATCGAAAATCGAATCTGTCATAACTCAATACAAAAAAGGCGTTTCGACTATTTTTCGACTGGTTTCTCCTTATTCACAGTAGTTCCTGAGATTAGCGCGCACAGACAATCTTTATCGATCATCTTGCACAAAACAATTTTATTTCTCACGAAGATTGTTTTTTTATCCACTATTTATTCTTAAAAAAAAGAATTAATGAAATAGAACTTAGCCACTCGCATCTTTTTACTGCACGCGTACAAAATCATCAATATTTCATCCAAACCCAACGTGGAGTTTTGATGCCATCGCGAATTATATTGAGAGACTTTATTGAATCGACGTTACCGATAGTTTGGTAAGAACGTCGATATTTTTTGTCGATGATGTTACTAACAATTTATTTGTAACTAGTTTTCCGCCCGCGCGTATTTTGTCTGTCACAGAAAAACTATATCGCGCGCGTCCCTGTTTCAAAAACCGGGATAAAAACTATCCTATGTCCTTTCCCGGGATTCAAACTATCTCTGTTCCAAATTTCATCAAAATCGGTTCAGTGGTTTAGGCGTGAAAGCAAGACAGACAGACAGACAGAGTTACTTTCGCATTTATAATATTAGTATAGATTGCACTAGGGCTCTGTATTGCAGATAAACTGTTGTTGCAGTTGTCCTTGCTGTTGTAAGGACATAAGGACAACCGGGAAAGGACCGATACTCCAGCGTTCTCTACGTCATACGGCGCAAAGGTTTCCACCGTAAAAATACTATGGATTGCTTGACTTCTTTTCAGTAGTTTGTAGATGTTTGTAGTTGTTTAATAATATTATAATATATCAATTTTATTAATACTAATAATATACTATCAATGTTTACACAGGGTGTCCCAAAAAGTAGTGTCAAGCCGAAGCCCAGAGGTAGAGCATCAATAGGGCTTGTAGTTTTTGAGTACACACCCTGTATAGCCACCCACTTTATTGCGATCCATTGACAGCGTTCGATACTTTCGATGGTAGAGTCACTATTATTATTAGTGTATGGTAGTTACGATACTTACGTACGATACTATTCCTGTGGGTCTAGACAAAGTGCACATTATAATCGCAAACCAGTCGAAAAATGGTCAAAAAGCCTTTTTTTGTATGGAGTTTTACGGATTCGATTTTTGATTCGATCAAAAAGTGCATTTTGTCTAGGGGGCTGTTCACTGTCTATGCCTAAAGTACGGCCAACGAGAAGCGATACCAAATGTAAACAAACCCAATGTCATTGTCATTTGGAATAGTAGGGGTGGGTTGCACCACCCATCTTTAACGGTAACTATGACGATAACCGGTGCTTTTTGTATGGAATTTGACAGATTTTTGACGTTTGCCAAAGTTAAAGTAAGATGGTGCAACCCAGCCTAAGGGTTTGACTTTGACATATTTTCAGGAAGAGACAGAATAGATTGTCAATTCGAAAGTCGAATCGACCTTTTGTATCGCTTCTCGTTGGCCGTACTTTAGTTTCGTACAATCGACAAATTATCGATATTCGGCAACACTTTATCACCCCTCGCGTCACCCTAATTCCAATTCGACTTATGACGTCATCGCAGGAGGTGGGGGAGCGAAATAAAAGCAGGGTTGATCGTATATGATTCCGAACGCCACCAAAAGATGGCGTTGTGCTTACTTAGCTCGCGCAAGACAAGTTTTTTTTCAGCCTTTAAGTACCTATACCACCACCACTTCTTAAATAAAAATACCTCTATTATATTCACGACTATAACATTTTTTGGAGTAACAGACTAGGGACTCTAACGAGTGAGCTAGGTCCTGTTACTAGAAAAAACAATATTTTTCAGCATTGTAGAGATAGTATACAGGGTGTCTTTTAAATCGTTGGCATCCTTTTAATTTAAACTAAGTCTAAAGTCTGGTCCGGGAGCACGTAGAATTTTCTCCAATGACTCCAAGCTACCCATCCTTATCGCTCGCGCGTAATTATGTTGCTGTCGTGCTCGCACACTCACTGCAGGCGCCCGTCGCACAGTCGCGACAGCAAATAATTACGCGCGAGCGATAAGGATGGGTAGCTTGGGGTCATTGGACAAAATTCTACGTGCTCCCGGACCAGACTATACTCATCAACTCATGGTACGACATTCCCTGAAAATGAAACAAATCTGATGAGTTAAAATTTCAAGAATTAAAACCTTGTACAGACGCGTTGACGACAGCTCACGACAGCTCATCAAACTTGACACTGCGTCATCTTATTTCGATGTATTAAGTGTTATTTTGCAACAAAATGTATAGGCTGATGTGCTGTTCACAGTACTATACCGCGGTAATACTAAAAATGACAAAAAACTTATTGGATTAATCTCATATTCAGGGAATGCACTGTGTGCGAAAGTGTATTTCCGCACTTGTGTCTAATGGTGGGTGTTAATCTACATACACTGGTCATCATAAAAATCGACCCTCCCGCGACAAGCACTTTCAAACGTATGCATCCCCACTTCCTACCAATATTACTATAGGTACTATATTACCATTTAAAAGCCTAGTTCTAAACTTCATTTCATTAAAGGAAAGGTTTTTACCCCAAAAATGTGTCTGTAGAAGAATCCAGAGTCACTTCTTCAAAAAATAAGTAGTTACGCTTGAGCCAACTTTTATGGCTATAAAACTGTTAAGTTGGGACTTGGGATTAATCGCTATCCATCTGTTAAAGAGGACACGTGAGATTATTATTTGGTATTATAACCATAAAAATTGGTCTAATTGATCCCAGAGGTGAGCCCAAAGAGAGGTCTTTTTTCAAGTTTTTCAAGTCACATTTATTGTATTTATGTTAATCGTTTATTAGGAAATTAAATGTGTTTTTCTTTAAGGATATTTATTGGGCTTTCAAATAACACCAATATTGTTGAGGCACCATGATTGTGTCAGTAGAAACGAGTTTTCCTGTAAAAAGTAGGTGGGCCGATTTTTGTGATGACCAGTGTAGATAGTTATAAAACCTATCTATTTAGCTCCCCAATGATCACTAGTTATCTAGCGCCAAAATATTTATCTATTTTCCAAGCTTTATGCGACTAGCGAAGGATATTTTGACAACAATCAGCAACCAAAATTTAAAGCATATTCGCAATCAGAATTTCTTATGAAACAATATGACAAAATGTATCTTATATTGTCGATAATTATCCTAGAATTATCTGATAATTATCCGATGATTATCTATAATTATCATGAAGCGTAACTATCTTGATAATTTTTTTTTTTTTTTTTTTTTATCCACAACGAGGAAGCTCTTGGCCTGTATCTCACCTGATGGTAAGTGACGATCAGGCCGAAGGTGGAAGCGAGCTTCACCCGGAATCCTCAACCACGGAGGAACTGGCTATCTTACCTCTAACTGCCGGAACACAACACTGCTGTTAACATTGTTGTTATGTCGACAGACTTAGGTAAGATGGTGGTAGCTAGCCAGGCGGACTTAGAACAAGCCCTACCACCAACCAAACCGAACAGAAAAATCTGCCCCCACTGGGAATCGAACCCGGGACCTCTGCGTCTGAAGCAGGTGGTTTAACCACTAGACCACAGACCAATGTCGAACCCCGGATCTGGCGCTTAACTGGGTCAGTGCCTGATGTATGGGAACGGCACGGGAGGAATGACATTGACTTTGACATAATATTATGACGTGACATAGCATACAAATCTGAAGTCTCACTAACGTTTGATGTCTCATAAATACCCTCCCGCCGTGCCGTATCTATGTGCTAGACGTATAATATATAGGATGTGAAAAACAAGGGTTCTTAAAGTGTTAATTAATATGGTTTTGAGCTCCATGCTTTACCTTTTAGATATCAAATGGAAGTTACATAATATGTTATGTTATATTTTAGCCATATCTAATTGGTCAAATAAATAGTGTTTATTTATTTAATAGGATAACCAACAGACAAACACGCATACAAGAGAAATAATTATTATAACTAAATTAACTAATATGCTAAGAACTAAGGCCGAGTTGCACCACCTTAGGTACCTATTTTAACCGTAATAATAAAATAACTGGTGCTTTTTATAAGCCTGACCAGGAACATAAAAACCCTGGCATAGAGGCGCTTCAATTGCATTTGATAGTGCAACACTGAGTACAGTCGTACATGTGTTAAATTAATAGGCTAAATTTATGTATCAGGATTCAGGATTACGGGCTATTTTAATTTGATATTTTCATAAATGAACGAAAAATATTATTAAAGGTAACCTGGTTTAAATAAATTAAATCCCATCAAAAACAATACTTGTCAAAAAAACCAAGTCTCGCAACTCAGTTGTTCTACGGTAAAAACTTGTGAGATCCATGTAATACCAAGTCCAGGCCAGGAAATCTTTAACGTTTTACATAAATATATTGACTTGGCCATCGCATGAAAACACGTGTAAATTAAATTATTTAGTGCAATGGCCAAGTCAATATATTTATGTAAAACGTTAAAGATTTCCTGGCCTGGACTTGGTATTACATGGATCTCACAAGTTTTTACCGTAGAACAACTGAGTTGCGAGACTTGGTTTTTTTGACAAGTATTGTTTTTGATGGGTTTTTTATCTTCTATATCTATAAAAGCGAAAGGTCGCTGGCTGACTCACTCACTCATCACGAAATCTCAGAAACTACAAGTGCTAGAAGTATCAAATTTTGCATGGGGGTTCCTTTTAGAACGTAGGTGCTCACTAAGACGGGATTTTGCAAAATTCAACCCCTAAGAGGGTAAAACGGGATCCACGCGTACGAAGTCGCGGGCGGGCGGCCGCTAGTACAGTCNTAGACTGACATGCAAGATGACATGATGTCAATGAAGTTTTCAGTTACTGTTGCCATTAAAAGAAATTAGTACCATTAGTTTTCCGCAACATGGCGAGGGTTTTTATGTTCCTGGTCAGGCTATATATAGAGTTTGACAGATTTTTATCGTTTGTCAAAGTTAAAGTAAGATGATGCAACCACGTTGCCTTAATTAGAGGCTGCCAAGGTATTAATACTCGTATTTAATATTGGGGAATTATAAAACGATCGACTAAAAATAACTTAGCGACTGATGATGGCATACTGTTTTAATAAATTGAGCGATATGAATTTGAGTAAGCGAAAAATTAACTTAACTAACGACGAATTGATTAATAATCAAATGCAGAACGAGTTTACAAAAAGTGGGTTATGTTTAATCCATTTTAGATATTAAAATTCTGTCCGTGCGATTACATTACTAAGTGAGCGACTAGAAATACAAAGAGGGCAAAACGTTACCTGAGCTTGGACAATGGATTTTGGATCTAGCAATTCAGCTGAAATTAACAACACTAGGTACCACTAGAATCAAATGCAAAGGGGATGTTGCCTGGGTCATAAAGCAAGAGTTTTAATTAGTCCGTCAGTTAACTTATCAAAAAATACTCTACACGTATTTTTCACTTTTTCAAACTAATGAAAATTTAAAGAGATAAAGCGCCTCAAAGTTCATAAGAAGAGGCCCGTGACGTCAACGCTTGCTTAAAAATGCCGCACGTTGTGACGTCGTGCGCAACTTCAACGCACCATAACTATGTAATTATTTGTTAGATTGACAAATAGAAATATATGTGTCCAATATTTTTTGATATTAAACATTACGGACTAAAAAAATTTTTTTAGGCAACTAGCCTATTGACGCGCCTCTATGCCAGGGTTTTTATGTTCCTGGTCAGGCTATACTAAAAAACACTATTACTGTACTAATTACTTACTCAAATCAAATCAATGGGATTTCGGCACGCGTTTTATTATCTACCCACATCGTATCTGGGGGCACGGCAGTGCCCCCACCNCCTTTTAATTCCGCGACTGTACATTATGTTTTCCGTTCTGCGTGCGTGTAGCCTGCATAATAGGCATAATTGTATTTATAATTAAATGACTACAACTAATGTATAACTACTTACTGTCCAGGAAAGCAGCCAGCTCAAGAACAGTGCGCAGGATAGCCCTTCTGGATCCCTTGAATTTGCCGATACCTGAATGAAAAATATAATTAATTAGTACGCAATTATCATAATAATAATAAGTACACTTTCTTGCACCTATTCCATACAAAACGATAACAAAAGAAAAGAGAAAAAATGTCTTTGGCTATGGGTTGATTAAAAATGAAAAAAAAAAAAGAAAATTATTTAACTACGTTGTTCTTTTTACCTGACTTAGTGACTTCGGCAAAGCCAAAAGGAAGGGTTACTATACATTTTATTTTTACATCATCAAAGTCATCATCATCATTGAATTTTGAGCTGTAGCCATTTTACGTATAATATGTTTATATTCCTCTGTAGCTTCTAAGCTATTCATCAGAATTTGATGTAGGTACTTACTCGTTCAATCAATTCGTTTATAGCCCGGGTTTAACCGACATTCCTCGGGTAACAGTTTTTTAAATAATAATTATTTTTTGAGATCTAAGAACTTGCACTAAGCGTTTCGATGACTCTTTTATAATGCGAACAGTTAGGGAATGGCTGCCTGCTGCTGCTGCATATAATGATTAAATCTGTCGTCCCTTCGTCGCCTTACAGGGCAGATATGTACCTACCATCCTAGGCTCATCCCACTTAACACCAGGTGCGATTGTGGTTAAATACAAATATGTAGAGTCTAAAAAGTTTTAAGTATTTTCACGTACCTCCGTTCTTGTTGATGAAGTCGTTGACTTGCTTCGTGGCGTACCTACAGTTGTATTTGTCTAGAAGAGCATCGATGTCGTTGACGCCCTTGACGGACACTCCGAGATAGGAGTTGCTGTAGTCGTGGCCACAGTAGCCGCAGTTGCCTGTTGTGTTAAAAATAAATAAAATAAATAAATATCCTTGGACATTTTACACTGCGCCGCTAGCCCCAAACTAAGCAAAGCTTGTACTATGGCTACTAGACAACGGGTATAAACATACTTAAATACCAAAACTAAAGAAGAGGAAATCTATATAAAAGCGAAAGGTCACTGATTGACTGATGAGTGGCATCACGAAATCTTAGAAACTACAAGTGCTAGGAGTCTCAAATTTTCCATGGGGGTTCCTTTTAGAACGTAGGTGCTCACTAAGAACGGATTTTACGAAACTCCACTCCTAAGAGGGTTAAACGGGATCCACGTGTAGGTACGAAGTCGCAGGCGGCCGCTGCGCAGGTAACTCATAATCTTCAAGCTTCATCAATATCAGAATGGATTTATTAATTGTTGCGCCAGAAAAGAGACTAAGAATTATCAAAGGATTAGAGACAAAGTCAAAGTACGGGACTATTCCCACTGCTGCAACTCCTGTGTAGCCAGGATCTACAGCTTGACGCCAATAAAAACCCAACCAGTGAAGGTCAAGTTTGTCCCCGGGGAAAGTTAAGCTGTCATTGGACACGCAACGAAATTAATCACAAGAACATAGAAGGAGTTCGAAGTTAAGATTCGACTTTCCTCCAGTGCAAAGCGGATGACAAAGTAACAAAACAAACGGTTTAAAAAAGGCCAAAGTCAAAGTAGGTATACAAAGAAATTCCGAAAATAATTACCGAAAAGTCCAAGGACACAGGCAAGGATCCTAAGAACAGCAGCAACAACTGAAAAAGAAAATAAATGAATCAGATTTCAAAGAATTATTTATTTAAAACACAACAAATAAAGGAAGAAATAATTGAAAAGTTTTTACTTACTTCGTCCGACAAGATCACCCACTGAAAAACAAAGAATGAAATTAATGTAAATTAACGGGCTTAAAATATGAAAAATATAAAATTCCATTACTTTTATTAAAACAAAATGCACACTCACATCCAGGAATAAATATGTTGATGGCACTTCCGCATCCAAGACCGACTGTAAAATAAGACGTAAGTTAATAATGCTACTTCATTTCGACTTAGTGTCCACTGCTGGACAAAGGCCTCCCCCAAGGATTTCCATAACGACCGGTCCTGCGCTCCCCGCATCCCGGTGTTTCTCACGACCTTCACCAGATCGTCGGTCCACCTAGTAGGAGGCCTACATTTTCGTCTTCTGCTGCTTTAAAATTCCAAAATCTAGCTCTTCAACTGCAGGAGTGAATCGACCTCATCTAATTCCATGCATAAGCTTCAAAAAAGGTGCGCTAAGCTAACGGTCTGATTTTGATATCATCGTCATCATCATTTCCGTCACAGGATGTCCACTGCTGAATATATGCCTCAATAATTTCGAGATTGACCAGTTGGCAGCAGCCTGCACCCAGCGTTTTTTTTACGTGGAAAAAATGTATAAAACTGCATCCTGCAACCTTTATGAGGTCGTCTATCCACCTTATGGGTGAATGTTCCATACTGGACTTGCCGATATCTGTGGATGCTCATGTGTGACATCAGAATGAAACATAAAATTAAAAGATAAATAATAAAAGTAGCAAACTCACCTCTCAATATGAAGCTAAGAGCGCCATCGAGGTTGGTAGGAACTTCTGTAAAAGAAAAAAAAAACTTACAATAACTTCTTCAAAATATACTTGCTACTTTAAAAAATTCAGAGTATCCAAACAAAAAGTAATGGAGATTAATTATTTCTGATTACCGCGAAATTGCTATGACACTATTTACTTCAGACATTATTTATTACATAAAAACAAATTAATAACTTGCGTTATAAAACATGTGTTTTGAACAACAATTAATATGTGGCGTTTTGAATAAATAAAGAGTTAAACTTACTGATATTGATCAAGTCTCTGTATAAACCATGATGGAATCTGCAGTGTTCTGAAAGAAGAAAAGAAAATTGCTTAGGGAATAATTTGTGGGTAGTTTAGATTTACCGCTTACAAAGAGCATAATAAGAACTAGCATCTGAGCACCTCTGTTATTTTTTTACTACGGTAATATTCCCACCTCTCGTTCCCACCGCTGCAACTCCTGTGTAGCCAGGATCTACAGCTTGACGCCAATTAAAACCCAACCAGTGACGGTCAAGTTTGTCCCGGGGGAAAGTTAAACTGTCATTGAAAGGAGCTTCTATTACTAAAAATATTTTATCATGATCACACCCACATTCATAGCAGCCTACGTCATCATGTCCAATATCAATACCAACTAAAATATGGCTACACCCAATGATTTTCATCAGATTTTCATTCCCAACTATATCTGGTTTTCTCATACTTAAGTAGACTAGAATTCTACGCTGTGCTTGATATTGTACAGATTTGGAATTCTTTCTTCTCCATCGACTGCCGATTCTTTGTGCTATCTACATCATAGCAACTTTTGCTTGTTAATCGTTTTTGTTATATCGATGACGTATTTTTTATTTGCTGCTTCACTTAAGCAAGCATCGTTTGTGAATGCGGGTATAAGACCATAAAGGTACCTCTTAATGTAAATTTGTTTCACTGTATGTTATCCAAACAAAATAAAATAAAAATAAAATAAATAAATAATCATTATTAAAGAGAGTTTACAGTAAATAAACTTACTTTTTAGTCCTCTGAAGAGGAACCTGAGTGTTCGCTTCAATCCATGATTGATAGCTCTATCGGCACCCTGAAAATACAAATTCATTGTAATTTAAAAGTTGTTAAGGAATTCACGTACTCGTACTCCTGCGAATATTAATTTTAAAATTAAAAAACTATACAGTAAAAAATTGTATAACATGTACAATATTTCCAGAGAGAGAGTGAGGGAGAGCAGAAGATATTAAACCTTGGAAAATGGCTGCTTGCTCAAAGGTTGACTGGGAGAGACTGCCATGTGGCAGAGTTCGTTTTTGGAACGAATTGGGGCGTGTAAAGCACTTTTTACTCGACTGCGCCAGAAAGAGGGTTATTTAAATCATTATAGCTCTTGTACAGTCAGCGTCAAATAGTTCGTGATCGTGACACCCAAAGTAACCAAAAAGTTTACAACACGTCTTTGTTACATTTGGAATAAGGTTACACTGTCAATTTGTCTGTACTTTTAATAAATAAATGTTTTTTTAGCTTTCTTCTTTTTTCTTTCATAAGAGTTTAAGAACTTACGATTCTGCAGCGCTTTTGGCGTTTGAAGAATGTAGCTGATGATGGACAGCATACAGCCACAACCTGGAGAAAAGAGGAAAAGTAAATAAATAGAAAAAATAAAAGATTTTGGCAACATTTTCAGGGTCACCTGACTAATAAAGTGCTAACATGTCGGCTATTCTAAACTTGCGGCCATACTCAGTAATTTTGTTTAAACCAAGATGTCCACTGCTGGACTGCCTGTCCTGTGCTGTCCGCATCCAGGCTTCCAGCGATCTTTACTATTTGATATTCTTATACCTACGAGATCAAATCAGAAGTGAGGAGTTCCGTAAACGATCTAATATCGCTGACATAGCTCGATGGATAAGCAAGCTTAATTGGCAATGGGCAGGGCACATAGTACGCAGAACTGACGGCCAATGGGGCAGCAAGGTTCTGGAGTGGAGGTGACGTACTGGAAAGCGCAGCGTATATACTACATAAAGGTAGCAGGAAGGCCCTGGGTACAGGCCGCTACAAATTGGTTATTATGGAAATCATTGGGGGAGGCCTATGTTCAGCAGTGGATGATGATGATGATGATGATGATAATGATACTCACCAGGATAAGAACAACCAAGCACTTCAAGGACACCATTTTGGCAGTTGCCCAGCAGGATTTGCTGGAAATTCTCACTCGCTACGTTTATATACCACATCTAGAGAGTATTGTTTGTCCAGTTGGTAAGTGCAGTTGTTTGCTATTTGATGTAACTGCCAATAAAGCTGTTTTAATTCTTTAAATAGATTGTTTTGAGTGAAATGGTGTGTTGGAGATGTTTGCTGAAAAATTACACTTTTAAGCAAAGCTTATTAAGAGATTTATCATTGTCTTTATTTCAGCCAATGGCAGACAAATGCTGGATGTAAGCTACACACAAGTGCCAAAAGCAAGATTTTTCATTAAGCTTTCAGCTGGACGTGGTTGGCCTATTGAATATCGAGCTTATCGAGTAAATACAAAGGAAAACGCAAACGTGGTCGCCCCAAGCAAACTTGGAGGTGCATTGTAGCAGACGAGGCGAAGAAAATCGGTAAGACCTGGAGCGATATCAAACGCGAAGCTCAAGACCGAACGCGATGGAGGACTATTGTGGACGCCCTCTGCCCCATTTAAGGGACATTCCTATGTCCCCTAGATGTCTAGGATCTTAAGTCAAAGTGGCCAAAAAGTTGACAAAACAACCTTATTCAAATTGTAAAACTTACTTTTTGGCTACTTTGGGTGTCACGAACTGTTTGACGCTGACTGTACGTATACGTAAGTACTATTAAGAGTAGGCGCACACCGTTGATTTTTAGTTGGCCGCTAGTTGTGCCCGATTTTAATTTGTATGAAGAATCGGCCAAATCGAGTCGGCGTACTTAGTGTGCGCACTCCCATACATGTCCATACTGATCAACTGCCCGACTAAACTATCGGCCGATGAAAAATCAACGGTGTGCGCTTACTCTGAGGGTGGGTTGCACATCTTACTTTAATTTTGACAAACGTCAAAAATCTGTCAAACTCCATACAAAAAGCACCGGTTATCGTCATAGTTACCGCTAAAGTTAGGTGGTGCAACTCAGCCTAAGACTTGATATCGGATTAGGCAAACAACCGTGTGTCCCCATTTCAAACCTCGTTAGTGAAGTTCAGGTTTTGCGTCATTCATCCACCAGAAATAAATCTCCTACTAGATTTTGCTCGCAGCATCGACAATGTGTTTTTTCAAAACCTCTTTATCTACACTAATATTATAAAGAGGAAAACTTTGTTTGTTTGTTTGGTTGTAATGAATAGGCTCAAAAACTACTGGACCGTTTTTAAAAATTCTTTCACCATTCGAAAGCTACATTATCCACGAGTAACATTATGCTAAATTTTATTTTGGAAAAAAATAGGGTTCCGTAAAATATGTAGAGATAATGTAGTCCACGCGCGCGATGCCGCGGGCGGAAAGCTAGTTGGTTAATATAAAGACCTATTACGACGACTGCATTGACGCATTGTTTGTGCAATGTAGGTACTCGTCCTTGTTTAATTACTAGCTACGTACTAGGTCACAGTACGTCAGACTGCATCCAAACAACACAAACATTTTTTTTTTTCAAATTCAAATTCAAATTTTTTATTGCATATTAAGTGTTTACAATTGGGTCTTAATCTAAACAATGAGCTTATAACTTAATAACCCGTTAATGGGTATTGCAATATTAGTGGTGAGAGAGGACTAGTCTAAACTTAGGTCTAGCAACTTACATTATGAGATGCCTTATCTTAAAAGAGTTTGTTTACTATTAAAGAATTCATCTAATGTATAAAAGCAGTTGGTAATTAAATATTTTTTTAATTGGTTCTTGAAAATTTTGAATTTAGTTTGGTTTTTTATCTCTATAGGTATTTTATTATAAATTTTTACTGACATAAATAGTGGGCTGCAGTTAAGTTTTTTAATTTGTGTACATAATCCATAAGTGAATATTATACTTTTACCAATAAGTGTTTTCATCTGCAATTTCTTTATCCTCAGCATCAAACTCCTGATTGATTTCGGTGCGGGTCCAATGACAGTTATAACTTTACTCAGAACAAACTTGGCATTCACTGGTTGGGTTTTTATTGACGGTCAAGCTGTAGATCCTGGCTACACAGGAGTTGCAGCGGTGGGAACTAGAGGTGGGAATAGTCCTGTCCTTTTCAAATGACTGAGGTAAATGGGTTCCTTGCCCCTAGCAACTATCGTATTATATACCTAAATTAAATATACACAAATTCTATAAAATCCATATTTTTGAATACTTTTGTGTAAAATTTAACCGTTTATACAGGTGTGTTGTATAATTTATTGCCTATTCATTATTATTTTTTCATTTTTATCGGATAATTTGCATTGCATATTTTATATTTTTTTAAACATGTACGAGTACGATTCGTTTCGTTAAATAAGTAGGTACCGTGTTGATGGGATGGGCTGAATTTAAATTCAATTTATTGCAAATAATATTAACTATGACTTATGACAGGGGTGGCCAAGCGGTCGATCACGACTATTAGTCCAGTCGATCGTGGCAAGGCATTATACTATTACTACATGATTGTGTACTAAACTATGCTGTTTCATATAAGATTTCAAGTAGTATGTAAGTGGTAGATCGCCCAGGGTTTCTTTAGTAAATAGTAGATCTTATGTTTAATCAAGTTGGCCACCCCTGACTTATGGAATGCAGTCTAGGATGGTACATCATGGCCCTGTAATAAGTTTAAGCCAAATGAAGTCCACTGCTGGACAAAAGCCTTCCAAGGTTTTCTATAATGAACGGTCCTGCGATGCTCGTATCAAGGTTCTTCCCGCGACGAAAGATCGTCGGTCCACCTAGTAGGCCTGGAACCTGGAAAGGGATTAACGCCGTATGCTCTTTCGTCGCGAGGCAGAGGCGTTTACGTTACGAATTATGCGGATAAGTGTGCGTTGCAGTCCGGAGTTTCATACAAAGAATACTGACCGCCTCGAGGTGATACGGTTACGATTCCTTTCCGGGTGGATAAGGTGTCCTTAATTTCGAACTCCTCCTATGTTCTTCTGATTAATTTCGTTGCGGGTCCAATGACAGTTTAACTTTCCCCCGGGACAAACTTGACCTTCATTGGTTGGGTTTTTGTGGCGGTCAAGCTGTAGATCCTGGCTACACAGGAGTTGCAGCGGTGGGATCGAGATGTAGGAATAGTCCTGTAAGTGTCCTATAAAAAGAATGCAGACTCTCCCAAAAACAGCGGATTATTATAAAAACGTTTTGTACAATATATTTATTTATTTCTTTATCTTGTTTTTCTTCATTCCCGACACCTTAGGAGCTCGGTACTTGTACATGAAGGTCTCGTCAGTAGGCACCACGTCTGCTTGCGTACTTGGGTTGTCTTGAGGGAACATCTGAAAGGGTTTGGAAACGTTAGAGTAGGCGCACACCGTTGATTTTTCGTCAGCCGATAGTTTAGTCGGGCAGTTGATCAGTATGGGCATGGGAGTGCGCACACTACGCCGATTCGATTTGGCCGATTCTCCATACAATTTAAAATCGGGCACAACTATCGGCCAACTAAAAATCAACGGTGTGCGCCTACTCTTAGAGAACTGTCGTTAAAAATTTATTTAATTTCTGCAAATAGGTTTTAGTTTTTGCAATTCACGAAGGCGAGTGAGCTTTACATGTGTGGTGGTGGCTCGCTACTGTTCGTTTTTCAAAAGTTATGATAGACATAACACTATCGTTAAGTGCATGTACACGTACTAGGGATGTTATGGATATGTAGTTTCGGTTATGGATACGGTTACGGATATAGGAATAATATTATACCGGTTTCGGTTACGGTTACGGATATCTGTGCTTTAGAATGTAATTTGCAATAGTTGTCCAACACGGTTAATTCATGGCCGCACCACTTTACATCGAATAAAAATGTATACTACACTTGCGAGCAAAAGTATGGAATCACTTACATGAAGTTGTTTCCACGCGATCTTGTGTACAAACCAATTTGTTAATAACAAAAAAAGTAGCACCATTTTAAAGATTAAACTTTTAACTTTAAATTGATACTAAATTCATTTAAATCACACCAGTATTTAAAAAGATATCCCGGCTGATGTAAAGAAGTAAGGAAAAAGACATGTATCAACTGTTTGATACGTCGCGAGTTGCGGCCTATTTACCCCCCATAAAAGCAAGTGTTTTCGGATTTTTGCTTTCACACGTTGATCCATACACATCTCCGCTTATTTTGACACTTTACCTGGGATTCTACACCTTCAGAAGCAGCACAAATCGTTGCACTATTGCAAGAAGGGCTCAGCCAGAGGGCTGTCGCACGTCAGCTCCACATAAGCCAGTCCTGGGTTTCGAAAGTTTTAAGACGCTTTCGGGAGACTGGTGGCTTTAACCCGAGACCAAGTTCTGAACATTGCCGGTGCACATCGCAGAGGGAAAACCGTTTTTTCATGTCAACTTCTCTACGAAATCGTCATTTGACTGGTATCGACGTCCAGCAAGAGCTCAGAAATGTTCGTAGGATAGCTGTTAGCGAGTGGACAGTTCGTCTAAGATATACTGCACAAATCGCTCCCCAGGCCGTCTATAGACCCGACCTCTTCGACTGCTGCACTGCAAAAACAGTCTGCATTCATCGGAGAACAAAACTCGCCTCCATTACTCGCCTTCCGAGTGCGAGCTAATTGAAAGCGTGCTTGTCGGCGACCTGCCGTCAGTTTCCAGCCTGTGGCAGGCCTTTTTGGAGTCAAATTTTATTGCTCATATCTTAGACGAACTGTCCACTCGCTAACAGCTATCCTACGAACATTTCTGAGCTCTTGCTGGACGTCGATACCAGTCAAATGACGATTTCGTAGAGAAGTTGACATGAAAAAACGGTTTTCCCTCTGCGATGTGCACCGACAATGTTCAGAACTTGGTCTCGGGATAAAGCCACCAGTCTCCCGAAAGCGTCTTAAAACTTTCGAAACCCAGGACTGGCTTATGTGGAGCTGACGTGCGACAGCCCTCTGGCTGAGCCCTTCTTGCAATAGTGCAACGATTTGTGCTGCTTCTGAAGGTGTAGAATCCCAGGTAAAGTGTCAAAATAAGCGGAGATGTGTATGGATCAACGTGTGAAAGCAAAAATCCGAAAACACTTGCTTTTATGGGGGGTAAATAGGCCGCAACTCGCGACGTATCAAACAGTTGATACATGTCTTTTTCCTTACTTCTTTACATCAGCCGGGATATCTTTTTAAATACTGGTGTGATTTAAATGAATTTGGTATCAATTTAAAGTTAAAAGTTTAATCTTTAAAATGGTGCTAGTTTTTTAGTTACTAACAAATTCCTTAGTACACAAGATCGCGTGGAAACAACTTCATGTAAGTGATTCCATACTTTTGCTCGCGAGTGTAGATGGCATTATAAAGGTAAATGAGGCTGTTATGCCTTTACATTTATAATGCTATACAAAAAACCATTTTAACTGCCTACATCCGAAACTATCCGAAACTTTTGAATCGGTTACGGTTACGGTTACGGATATTTTTTATTTCGGATATCCGAAAGTTTCTGTTACGGATATCCATAACATCCCTGAACGTACACACAAGTAAAGCTCACTCGTCTTCGTGAGTTGCAAGAACTATTTAAAAAATGCAGCGTTCGCTTTGACGTTCCCCTACAAGGTGGACCGACTACCTCATAGAGGTAGCAGGAAGGCGCTGGATGCAGGTTACCAACCGAGCGATGTGGAAATCATTATTATTTTTATTTATTTTTTATCCACAACGAGGAAGCTCTTGACCTGTATCTCACTTGATGGTAAGTGACGATCAGGCCGAAGGTGGAAGCGAGCTTCACCCGGAATCCTCAACCACGGAGGAACTGGCTATCTGACCTCTAACTGCCGGAACACAATAATGGTGTTAACATTGTTGTTATGGCGACAGACTTAGGTAAGATGGTGGTAGCTGGCCAGGCGGACTTAGAAGCTCTATCACCAACCAAACCGAACAGAATAATCTGCCACCACTGGGAATCGAACCCGGGACCTCTGCGTCTGAAGCAGGTGGTCTTACCACTAGACCACAAAGGCTGAAATGATGATGATGAAGTTAGTATGGATTCTTACGTCATGGTAATGTTCTGTGGTGGAAGAGTATTTACGGTCATCAACGCCGTGCAGTGGCAGCCTGGTGGACTTCTCGGAGAAGTCCTCGCCCATGCTCTTGATGATGGAGTGAATGATTTTGCTGAAAAGTTTACATTTATAAATAAAAAGTTATTTTTAATAACGCCATTTGTTGCGGCGCTTCTTCTCAGCACTTGTCAAATGTTGGTCTCGAAGCGCTGGTAGGGTAAAAAGATTATGAGACATGTAGAGGCTCCTTAAGAGCAAAATATTTGACGATTTGTAAGTACTATTTATTAGTCTATTCTATAGAAATAAATAAATTTTGACTTTGACTTTAATATTTCGAGATAGGCAGCGGAGAACGGGACTATTCCCACCCCTTGTCCCCACCGCTGCAACTCCTGTGTAGCCAGGATCTACAGCTTGACCGCCAATAACCCAACCAGTGAAGGCCAAGTTTGTTCCGGGGGGAAAGTTAAACTGTCATTGGACCCGCAACGAAATTAATCAGAAGAACATAGGAGTTCGAAGTTAAGTTTCCACTTCTCACCTTCCCACTAGGTAGCGGAGACTTGAATGCAGAGCTCCAGAGGCAATATGTTCCAAAAAGTTTGTTTTCGAATTGCTCACAAAACGTAGATATACTTTGAAAATGATTAAGATTCTAGAAGACTTGCAGACAAAGGTTTCTGTACTATTGTAAAGCCTGGTCCGTGAGCACGTAGAATCCCGTCCTATGACCCCAAACTACCCATCCTTATCGCTCGTAATTGTATTGCTGTCACGACTGTGCGACGCGCGCCCGCAGTGAGTATGCGAGCGCGACAGCAACCTAATTACGTGCGAGCGACAAGGATGGGCAGCTTGGGGTCATTGGACGGGATTCTACGTGCTCACGGACCAGGCTTTAGAGAGTTAACTCAATCAGTGCCTGAGGTATGGGACCGGCACGGGAGGGTGTTTTTATAACGTCAAACGTCAGCGAGACTTCAGATCTTATTTATGCTTTGTCATAATCGTTCGTTCGTTCGTTCGTTTCAGCCGAAAGACGTCCACTGCTGGACAAAGGCCTCCCCCAACGATTTCCATAACGACCGGTCCTGCGCCGCCCGCATCCAGGCGCCTCCCGCGACCTTCGCCAGATCGTCGGTCCACATGTTTGTCATAATGCTTTGTCATAATACCTAAGTCAATGTCACCTTTCCCTACCTCAGGCATGGCCGCTTCCATACGTCTTCAGGCATGACTGAGTTAAGAGCTAGATCTATCAAACCAGACTTACCCCGCAAACTCGAATCCCAGGTCCCTGAACATATTCCGCTCCTGCAGAGTCAGAGAGCTGGTCAGGAGATGGTAGGAGTCCAGCTTCTCCACCGGGCTCCTGTTGTCCTCCTCCCCCTGTCTCCCAGGGTTGTGGAGATGGTGGATATAGTCTTGGATGTGGTTGGAGCCAAAGTGGGAATCCACAGGGAGGTTGATGAAGGGACTCCGGACGGATCTGTGGGGAGAAAAGGGATATACAGGGTGTTTAAATCGTTGGCATCCTCTTCGTTTCAGCCAAACGACATCCTCTTAAAATTAAATTAAGGCTCATGATACATAGTAGGTACATTTTCCGAAAGAGTAACAGGGTTACTTAAAAATCCCATCCAGTCGCACCATTATTCGATAGGGCATCTGTTTAATATTATATTTGTCCCAATGAATCACACTGCTACCAGTAGCAATGCTATACCAACCAGTTACACTGGTTTTTTATGTATAACAAGGCAGGTATTTGACCACAATCGCACCTGGTGTTAAGTGGGATGCAGTTTAGGATTGTAACTACATTATTCTGCCCTTACTCGTTAGGACTTCTTTCTTTTCTCTCCTGAGTTATGATACTAATCGCACCCTGTGACATGTCATGTCAGGGCCTCAAAAATAATCCTAGATACGCCAATAATAAAATAAATAATAAATATCCTTGGACATTTTACACTACGTGTAGTCCCAAACCAAGCAAAGCTTGTACTGTGCCAACAACTGTACTGGCCAATGGACGTCCTTATAATGAAGAAGGTCTTCTTCTCAGTCAGTACACTCTTGTCAGAGTGGTCGTGGTCATCATTGTGAATCACGATGAGTGATGTTTCTCGCAATACGGGCCATTCCTCGCGGACTGCAGCTTTCCGGGCACTTTCGCTAACCGAACACTTAGCTGAGTTGCATCGCTTTTAACTTTGACCGTAACTATAACGATAACTGGTGCTTTTTGTATGGCGTTTGACAGATTTTTGACGTTTGTCAAAGTTAAAGTAAGATGGTGCAAACCAAACTTGATTTGCTCCGATGAAGAAAGTAGCTTACCTCAATCCGTCAGAAACAGTGGTCTCTTGATCTTCCTTGGGTCGGTACATATTCTCAATTTTCTCAGTCATCTTATTGTTGTAATGGTAAAGAGTTTGGAGACCAACTTCTTCGAGATATGCTTTGAGTTCTTCCTTCTAAAAAAAAGACTTCTTCTACATCATCATTTCAGCCATGAACACTGCTGAACATAGGCCTCCCTCAATGATTTTCAGATGGGCCGTGATGATATGAAAAGTGCCCACTTCTTCTTCTTATCGTGTCGACAACAAACCTACACAGTGTCGGCCCAAAACTCTGCTACAAGAGTGGCGTCTGTCAGTAGCATTTATTAAATCTTCCTGCGTATGGTTAGTGACCATTGACACATTCATTAATTTAATAAATCATAAATAATGAATGTGTAAGAGGTCACTATAGTTTATTATTGAGTAGTTCTACTGCACCTTATCGTTCAATATCTTCAGATAGTCAGGGGTCCTTCGGAATCTCTGTAGGACAGATTTCAAATCTTCTCCGTACAACTTCATGGCTTCGTCTTCGATGTCGTATTTTCGGCATTTTACTTGGCTGAATATTACTAATAAAGATTTGAAACATTATAATTCTTACTTACTAAACTCCATGCTAATATTAAGTTTGCCTTTGTCACTCACTCTCAGTCTCTCTCAGGACTGTAATCAACTGCACAGAGCCCATTTTGATTATGTTTAGTGTAAAATACTGCTCATCATCATCATCAGCCTATCACAGTTCGTTGGACACAGACCACAGTTCACTATTGGTTATTGGATTCTCTAAAACACTGAAGATCCATCCGACCAATTTCGGCCATGGCGACCTCTCCGACTCCTAGCTGTCTTGGCGGCGCTGGTGTGCCCGAAGATCTTCGCAGCAAACCCCCTCGCACCCCCCTAAAACACTATGTTACTTACAGTCCTCTTTTTACCTCGTGGCAGTCTATTGCTTTGCTACTTCTATTTGTTAAGTATTTGGGCTATATTAATTTATTTATCTCCCAACTTATTTCCTTATACTCTTTCCTCCAGAGAAATCAAGAACTTTATAGCCTACTAACTACTAGTAAATAGATGAAATAATTACTTACATAGAATCGAAAAACATATTTTTACAATGATTCTTCTTTTGTTCATCTTACTTCATGATCAAAACTTTAGCTAACACAATGGCTTACACAGCTACACCAAAATAAAACATTACTTTTAGTATTATTTTACCTATTACGATATATTTTTACTTTGCCATAAAAATGTAGTAAAACTCAGATTGTTTGAGTATAAAATAAACACAAAATGTTATTCAATCTTTACTTATCATCATAAATCCCGCGTTTCCCAATAAATGGTATAGGTGTTCTTCCTTGGAATGAACTACCCCCTGCTCTATCTCTAGATTTATGGTATTCTGGGATCCTAGCAACGTAGCTCGGTTTCTCATAAATTTTGTCATCATCGTTAAACTTCTTTTGCTTCCAACTGCTTCGTGAAGTCTTTCCATTATCCCTGGAATCTTCTCTAGCTTTCCCCCATTCTCTGCCCACTTTATCCCAGTCGTTGTCGACCTCATCTGTCACTTTCTTAGGCTTGCTCCAATCCTGTTTCTTCTTCTTAGGTTTAGGCTCTTCCCATTTTTTGGGCTCGTCCCATTTCTTAGGCTCATCCCAATTCTTATTCTCATCCCATTTATTGACAGCTTTCTTTTTCACGCTAACCTTTTTCGGCTCATCTTCAAACCTATCTTTTTTCTTTTTGTCCCAGTCTATTTCGCGGCTGTCCCACAAGTCCTTCTGTTTCCTAGATCCTCTTTTCTTCTTGCCCATCTTTTTAGACTGTACCGGTTCGTCCCAAACGCTTTTCTTAGTAATGTCATCCTTGTCAGCAATTTTCTTCCAGTTATCGGATACTTTCATTTCGACTATATCATCCCAAGCGTTGTCTTTAGGCTTTTTCTTGACAGGTGCATCCCAGGAATCAAACTTGGATTTTTCCTCACTTTTAGTCTTATCGTCATCTTTTTTCCAATCGAAATTCCATACATCTTTAGTGGTTTTCTCTTTCTGTCTATCACTTTTGACTTTGAAACGTTTTGTTACTGGGTTTATATTATCTTCTAAATTAGAAAACGAATCCCCTTTACCGTCTACTTCTTTCTTATTCTCTCCTGATTCTTCTAAGTGTGGTTTGAATGGTGTGACCTGCTCTTCGATGGATTGTGGATAGTTCTTAGTTTCTCCGTGGGGCTCTTCATCTTTTGGGCTGGGGGTGTCTTTTTCTTCATTGGAATCTGTGACAAGATAATTAATTTAATGGAGAAAGGTTCTGTGTGCGAATATTACAAAAACTAGCTCAAAAGTAAATTTAGAATTTGAATTCTAAGCTATCTAAGCTTGAGCTTAGTTTCGTGCGTGTGCGTGAGGCTTCAATATTTTTAACATTATTTTAGAATGGGATGTGATAAAATAACTTAGTATTATCACTTGACTAGACTCAAAATTACACAAACGCAAGTAAAATCATGACTCGGCTAAAGCCGATTAATAAAATTATTTAATAAGTTAAACTTCACAATATCGTGGCACATCTGTTATAACAAAAATGGCCATAACAACAATGTCAACAGCAAATTATGTTTCGGCAGTTGCAGATATTAAGATATGTAGTCAGTTTTTCCGTGGTTGAAGATTCCGGGTGTAGTTTCAATAGCTATTTATCATCACTTTCTATTAGGTGAGGAGATGCAGGCCAAGAAAGAGTACACCAAGATAAATAACTTGAAAAAATCGAACTGCCTAAGGCGGGAACCGAACCCAAGACCTTTCGCTTGCCGGGCGACTGCTCTTCCATCTGAGCTACTTAGACACTGGATGAACCCGTCGTTTTCAAGTGTCTTAGGCAGTTCGATTTTTTCAAGTAATTAATAATTTACAATTTAGTTTGAAGTGAAACTTAACGCTAAAAATTAATTAAGTTGTAATAAAATATACTCAGTACTTCTAGCATGAACAACTTTCGTCTTCGAATCGTTTGCGTATTCGATAAAATTCGATACTCAATCTTCGAATTAAACGATAACGTGACAATTTTGATACTCAAAATAAGTTTCGTGCAACCACATCTCATACTAAGTTCACTTTACGACACGTTCACAACGGCGCGCCGCTGTGGTAGTTTTCTTACTAAATCTTTTGATGGCGATTCGAGTACGCAAACGAATTGAAGTCGTAAGTTTTTCGTGCCAGCTGTACAGTTCAGCACAACTTGTTATGTATCATTATTACATTACCTACCTGTAACCCGGAACATAGCGTTTCTCCTGATGTCCAGATCGTTGCCAAACCCCATGTCACTGTGGCCGCTGCTGTCGTCATCACTCAAGCTGGACCTGTTTGAACAAGTTGTCATCATGGCCATTAATTGTTACTTATTTACTAAGTTTTTAGGTTTAAAATTAACGATATAAGTGCCCCACCAACTGCCACTTAAAAATGGCACTACTACCACTACTTTGTAAAGAGGCAGACAAAGGTGACTGACTTTCTACAGCCACTTCTTCTCAGCACCAGCCCATAAATATTGTCCCGAAGTGGTGGCAGGGCAAGCTATATTTGAGATGTGTATGCGCCCTGGAAAGGGCCTCAGTGAATATAAGTCACAATGTTTACTAGGTAGAAATGTACTACTGTTGTGGTCTCCTTCAGACGTTGACGTCGACGTAATATTATGACGTCGACGTAATATGACGTCGATGGAAACGACGTTCGTAAGCGCACACCGTTAATTTTTAGTTGGCCGATAGTTGTGCCCGATTTTAATTTGTATGAAGAATCGGCCAAATCGAATCGGCGTAGTGTGCGCACTCCCATACATGCCCATACTGATCAACAGCCCGACTAAACTATCGGCCGACGAAAAATCAACGGTGTGCGCTTACTCTAAAAATTGCAACTAGAGGTATAGTAGAACCTAGATGATCATTGTCATTACAATACCTATTTTTTAATACGATCTCTTTGTTGAATTGAATAAATTAATAAAATTGTTATTGTTTCATAACTCAACATCTGTTTTATTAAATAAATTGACGTTAAAGCATGTAGAAACAGCATTATTTGTACACATTACTTGTAGAGATGAGACGTATTTACTAGAACAGGTCCACACACTAGGTATTTTACAGTACTAAGTGGCACCTATTCCAATTTTTAAAATACTTGATCCACTTAGTATTTTTTAAATTACACGATTTCCGACCCTACCATCAAAGTAATAGAGGTTATTATTGCATAATACGTAGTCGTGTATTACACGCACCGCGTATTTCTCGCTAAGTATTTTTTAAATTACACGATTTCCGACCCTACCATCAAAGTAATAGAGGTTATTATTGCATAATCCGTAGTCGTGTATTACGTGCACCGCGTATTTCTCGCTAAGCTTATGTGCGAACGTAGAGATTCACTCCGTCTCTGTCTGACAAACAAATTTGAGCGCAGGCAGGTGTGAGATAGGAATAGGTGTTTGATGTATTACGTAATTTAAACTCTATTTGTACACAGGTAAGGTTTTGAATATTTTAATTTTTGTTCTCTCTCATCCAGCTCACTCCTTGTTGACTAGCCGGTAAAAAACCAGTTTTTATTCTTCCGACAGGTTTGTTTTGGTTTGTTGTCACGCGTCCGTGATAATTGCATAATTTGTATTGAAATAGTAATTTGATAATTAGATTAAATTGGAATAGTTTTCGAGTGTTGATTAGATAGAATTTAACTCCTGTTTCTGAGAAGTTACCCGCTAAAATACCGGTGGTGACAAAAGTTCCCAGAAATTTTTGGTAGTAGATGACCCATGGGGAGTTTTGTCACCAAGATTTTTTGTCTGTGTTTCTTTGTCAATTTGGGCGTGTTCCTTTACATGTATGGAGATTTGCTATTTTTGACATCAACGTTGATAAATTTAGCGATATCTGTGATATTTCTTTAATCTGTAAGCGTTTTGTGAGCGATGTGAAAAAATGTTGAAATGGAACACTCTCAGTTTGACATGAGCCGTCACACGTCCGATTTTTGAAGTGTTTATTTTTTATAGAAGAAACATTCTATTCTACAAGTTATTCAATTTCAAATTGCATTATTAATACTACGGTTGTATCTTTTCAAAGAAAATTGTATTTTAAAGTCATAATACGTGGATTAGTCCGCACTCCGCACTAGTCGCGTCAAGTATGGTAAATTACTACGTACTAAGTGGAACAGGTATTTGGATCACGTATTAATAAATACTTGGAATAGGTGCACCTAGTATCAAATTTACCTAGTATAACCCATCTCTAATTACTTGCATAATGTAATAAATGCACTAGAATGGGAAATGTGCACGATTGTTCAAATTATTCCTTGTAGTTACTGGTATTGGACATTATTAAATAATTTTAATAAAAACTTACCATTGTTTTAAAATTTGAAAATGCTACATGCATAGATAAAAATCTCTAAGTAGGAGTAACTATTTAAAGTTCTACCCTAAAATTATTCATCGTTTTAGCCAAACGACGTCCACTGATGGACAAAGGCATCCCCCAAGGTTTTGTGTACGTTACTCCAACTGGAAAGTAGCTCCTAGAGTGATAAGAGAAGAACGTATAATTAGTTCCCAACGTGGTGTAAATGTGCGCCGAATTAGAGATTTGTGCGTGCTTTCGTTTTGTTATAAAAACGGAAAAAACGATTCCTGCTGGAGTAACGTTGTTTTAGCAGGAAAATTCTAAACGAATGATCGCAAAGAGAAAAACTGAGCACGAGCAAATAGCTTATATTTTTTGTTCTAATGTGTGAGCTGAAAGTGTGAAAGTCAACTCATATCACTCTAAGAGCTACTTTCCAGCTGGAGTAACGTACACCAAGGATTTCCATAACGACCGGTGCTGTGCTGCCCGCATCCAGGTACTTCCTGCGACCATCACCAGATCGTCGCCCAAGCTATGTCTTCCGCCTCATGGTGGTCACTCAAGAAGACAAAAGACTTTGATCAGTGTGAGTTGTCAGTGAGGACATATGGCTCCGAAACGTAGCCTCCCACTATAAGCTTCATAAAGAAGCTCAACGTTGCACAGCGTGCAGCGTGCTATGGAAAGGGCCATGCTCGGTGTCTTTACGAGATCGAATCAGAAATGAGGAGATCCGTAAACGAACTAAAGTCGCTGACATAGCCTGACGGATTAGCAAGCTGAAGTGGCAATAGGCAGGGCTACCAATCGGGATATGGAAATCATTGATGGATGCCTATGTTTAGCAGTGGACGTCCTGTCCTGTGGCTGAAAATGATGATGATGAATAAAAACTTACATTATTATTTTGAAGTCTGATATACGAGTATTTATTAAATTCAATAAAAGCATCTCTAAATAGAAGTAGCTAAAATTCTACTCTAAAAAAGTAGGTATCTATAGGCTACAGGTGTGTTTGTGAACTAACGTTAATAATCGTATTTAGAGTAATTTTCCATTAGTAATTAAATACTATTTTGTTATTCAGTAAAACCACATGTGTTACTAACAGCCTAGTATAAATCATTACCTGTACCTACATACATATAAATTAAAAAGCAGACCAATTGTTAGAGAAATTGACTCTCTCTCTTGAACTTGAAATAAATTCATCATCATCATCATCATCAATTTGGTCATTGGTCGTTCACGCCCGTATTTACAAACATTACTATGAGGTCTCACAGTGCGCGTGGACGCACAGGGTGACACGCGAACCAATCACAGAGCTCTATTCAACGCTGTGCGTTTGATTTTCTGCTTCATTTAAGCAATCATCGTTTGTGAATATGGGCGTTAGTCTCCACTTCAAGAGCACGATTTCTAATTTCATCATCATCATCATTTCAGCCACAGGACGTCCTGCTGAACATAGGCCTCACCCAATGATTTCCACATCGCCCGGTTGGTAGCGGCCTGCATCCAGCGCTTTCCTGCTACCTATATGAGGTCTTCGGTCCCCCTTGTGGGTACGTCCCATGCTGCGTTTTCTTTGGCATCTCTAATTTACCAGAGGCAAAGGATTTGCCCTACATCATCAACAGCCCTTTACAGTCCACTGCTGGACTATGAGCCTCCTCCACTACTATAGTGGAGGAGGCTCATAGTCCAGCAGTGAGTGAGTGGAGTGAGTGAGTGGAGGGTTTTGCTTCACGCTTGGCAAGCGGGTTGGAGATCGCAGTTTAAAAGATTGATGTTTTTCAGGGAGTGCTGCTGCCCGTTCTCAGTTTGATGTGTGGTCCCTAAGTCGCTTCTTACGACACCCGCACGGGAAGAGTAGGGGTTGGTGACAAATGTATTCTACTATGCCGTCACCACACGGCTAGCCCATTTGCCCTACAAAACCTTTAAAATTTTATACTCACTCTCTTTTCAACTTCCTAATATATTGTTTCAGTACTTCAGGATTCTTGATCACGTGTATTCTCACTTCAGGGTCTTCAGGATTGTCAGTGATATCATTTTTCGACTTTTCATATTGATTTTCTTCATCATCATTTCTATTTAATGCTTGTATTATCCTTGACAACTGATCTCTATTTTGCTTCTCTTGGAAATCTGTGTTTTTTGTTCTGTATACTGTAGCTTCATTTTTTACTATTGTTGCTATAACTGGAAATAATTCATTTTCTTTTTAGTTTCTGTATGACTAAATAAATATTGGAACGCCTTCCTATGTATAAATTCCTATTTATTTTCATTTATTTATTTGATCACCACCATTCTGTATACATAAACGTAACAGGAAGGCGCTGGATGCAGGCCGCTACCAACCAGTCATTGTGGAAATCATTGGGGGAGGCCTATGTTCAGCAGTGGACGTCCTATAGCTGAAAATAATGATGATGATGAAAGAATGGAATATGGAAAAAAATAAGGAAATTCGATTCTGTTTTGGTCTCCTCTAGTTTTCTATAATTAATTTCGTTGCGGGTCCAATGACAGTTTAACTTTCCCCGGGACAAACTTGACCTTCACTGGTTGGGTTTTATGTGCGCTGTAGATCCTGGCTACACAGGAGTTGCAGCGGTGGGAACGAGAGGTGAAATTGTGACCTGATGAAGGTTGCGGAAAGTGCCTGGATAAGGCAGCCTAGTTGTTATGGAAATCTTTAGGTAGGATTTTGTCCTAGCAGTGGACATCTTCCGATTAAAAATAGACAAAAAGAGAGAGATAGAAATAGAAAAAAATTGAAGATAATATTTATAATCAAAATGAATTGCTGTTCGTTAATCTCGCTAAAACTCGAGAATGGCCCGATTTCGCTGATTTTGGTTTTGAAATTATTGTTGTAGTCCAGAGAAGGTTTAAACGGTGAGAAAACATGGGATAATTACGATTTGATTTCCACGCGTACGAAGTCGCGTGCACAGCTAGTTATTTTATTAACATTGAAGAGGTATTTTTAAGTAAGTTAACCAGATCTGTTTCTTAACTTACCGAAAGCAAGTAGAATATTTTTTATCATATTTTATACAAGAAACGTTTCTTCTGAGTAACATTTCGTATTTCTCGTATTTTATTGCTTGTTTACGATACACAGTCATAGTTTATAACTGGAAATAATGAAATTTAAAGGCGGAACAAAACATACATAACTACTACGATTTGCTATATGCTTTGTGAATGTCGTAAAAGGCGACTAAGGGAATATTCGAACATCAGGCCTCCCCAACCCGTCTGGCCAGCGCGGGGAGTGTAGGACAAATCCTCCATTTGCCTCTGGTAAATTAGAGAGGGTCGTGCTCCTTTAATGGAGACTAAATGACCTGACGGTGATGATATTTACAGATAGAAAATACGAGAAATGTAGTGAATTTTGTCCACTGATTGGGTTATTGGCGGTCAAGCTGTAGATTGCTACACAGGAGTTGCAGCGGTGGGAACGAGAGGTGGGAATAGTACTGTGGCATCTGAACTTTAGTCGATCGCCTTTGTAGTAGATTACATTGATTTTTACTCAGATAAACAGTCGGTAATCTAAATAGAATTCTTATAAAACCCTATTTAGCTATTATTCTTCTGTTATCTTATCATTTATCTATGTATAATGTAATCAAATCCCCGATAGTAAATAATAAAACGTTATAAAATTCCAATAAAGTAAAGCCTAAGTAGCCAAAACATTAGTGGAGATAGATTACACTATCTCTACATTTTTTAAAGTAGATAGGCACTGTTTTTTTGAGTAGCTGATATTTTGGGGAGGGTTTAATTAGAAAATCCCAGTTTTACTACTTGAGGTCGAAGGTCAATAGAGTTACAGTAAGTCTTTTTTTTTTTTTTTTATACACAACGAGGAAGCTCTTGGCCTGTATCTCACCTGATGGTAAGTGACGATCAGGCCGAAGGTGGAAGCGAGCGTCTGCCAAGACCTTAAGCTGGGTCCAGACAGTTGTAATGTGTAATGTAATGTAACACAAATTCTACGTGTGGACGGCACTACGAGCATTACATGTAAAGTGCTGCCCATACTATTTCCATTACATTACACGTAAAATTCCATAACGCGTTACACCTGTCTGGACCCCCCGGCTTTATGTCCACTCGAAAACCGTTTTTAAGGTTTCTTAGTCCTGACAAGGAACTCTTTTTTAGGACTCTACATGTAACGTGGGGATGAACTTTTTTATTTTCTACCCCATGGTGTAGGGTATTATTTGAACAAAGTGCAAATTTTTGTTCGAGTAGGGTGTCCCCATTCTCAAAACTAAATTGTCAGCAAAAAACAGGTTGAAAAATCTGGAAAAAATACACACGGAAGTGAATGCACTGTAAATCTAACGCCGTATTCACAAAGAATCAAATCGAACACACAGCGTTAAATAGAGCTGTGATTGATTCGTGACCCTGTGCGTCCACGCACACTGTGAGACCTCATAGTAATGTTTGTGAATACGGGCGTAAATCGCGACGTGGGCAAATCTGCGGGACAAAGCAAAAATCTATACTTACTAATATTATAAATGCGAAAGTAACTCTGTCTGTCTGTCTTTCTTGCTTTGACGCCTAAACCACTGAATCGATTTTGATGAAAATTGGCATAGAGATGGTTTGAGTCCTTTACATAGGATAGTTTTTATCCGGTTTTTGAAACAGGGACGCGCGCGATAATTTTTTTCTGCGACAGACAAAATTCCACGCGGGCGAAGCCGCGGGCGGCAAGCTAGTTCTATCTATACAGATAAGATATAAATTGAAATTATCAGAGGTATTTAAATTCGTTAATCGCGATAGTTAATTAGTAAAAGACAACATGGCGCGATTCGGGCTACTTCTGCTTGCTTTTGGACTTGCCGCTGTCAATGGTATTTATTTATACATTTTTACTTACAATACGGGACTATTCCCACCTCTCGTCCACCACTGCAACTCCTGTGTAGCCAGGATCTACAGCTTGACCGCCACAAAAACCCAACCAATGAAGGTCAAGTTTTTCCCGGGGGAAAGTTAAACTGTCATTGGACCCGCAACGAAACTAATCAGAAGAACATAGGAGGAGTTCGACTTTAAGGTTCGACTTTACTTATAATAGTCATCATCATCATCATCTCAGCCATAGGACGTCCACTGCTGAACATATGCCTCCCTGCTACCTTTATGATGTCAAAACAAAAACAAACAAACAAAAACTTATTTATTACTCAAAAATAAAAGTGTGTCCGCGAGGCAAAGAGGCGAGGATGCCGGCTGCATTTTTTCGCTGGATAAGCAATACTAAGCCTTTGTGCAAGGAAAGAGCCAGCATTCAAATTTTCCGAAATTTTAATTAATTTAGGGGAAATGGTCCGAAACAGTTAAAATTTAGTTACCTACTTATCTACTTAACACGTGTAAAGAGTGATCCCAAGTCGATCCTAAGGAGTTCAAACTCCTATGTTCTTCTGATTAATTTCGTTGCGGGTTCAATGACAGTTTAACTCTCCCCCGGGACAAACTTGACCTTCACTGGTTGGGTTTTTGGCGGTCAAGCTGTAGATCCTGGCTACACAGGAGTTGCAGCGGTGGGAACGAGAGGTGGGAATAGTCCTACTGTTACAATAGTAGTTGTTGTTGTGTTCTTTTCAACCGACTTCAAAAAAAAA